CTATCACTATAGACATCTTTACAATTTAATAAATCTTCCCAGAGTCACTAAGTTATCGTTTATTAGTTCATAAAATATTCATCCAACTGACTTAATGCGAATTTTATGAATATGCCTAAATTTAGTATTGAACGAATGAAACTTAAAAATGTTCTCTTTTTACGACAAATCATTAGGCTTCGTATTGTTTAGGGCTTTTTAAGGATTTCACCTGATTTCTTCAGTGCGAATTTCTTCACGAACTTACGTCGTTTAGAGAATCGTTTGTAACCATGAAAGACTGTCTTAAGACTTTTCTGTAGTGTGTAACAATTACCTCAACAGAGATCGAACATAAGAGCTTCAGATGATAAGATGAGTCATTTGGCGATTTAACCAATCGACGGTGGTTGCATGAGGCACTAAGCTGAGAATTTTTAAAGGTTAGAATTCTTTCGCTTACTGGAATCATTGAAGTCGTAAACACTACACAACTAAAGATTATCTTCCTACCATCTCTTTATTTCATTTGCTGTCAGGAATAGTTATTCCATTCCAATACATTTCATCAAATCATGACTTCAGTACTAGCATAGTAGACGTACACTGTCTCACCACTAAAAGTACTGAAAAATCTCTGTGATATTAAAAATAAATATGGAATAAATTTTATATTCATATTTTTGATTGCAAACTAGCCAGTAAATAGTGTAATATATCTAGTCCTATCTTCGGTGTAGACTGAATTCTATCAGTCAAGCTTGCAATGTGGCCACCATGCTAGGTGGCTCGTCATCACGGTGCACTGTGAGATGTTGTTATTAGATGGTTGGAGGCAATCGCCAGGAAGCCTTTGATATAAGTTTTATGCTAGTTGGTACTCCTCACCAAGGTGAATCTGCAACTAGACACATTACACTAATTACTGACCAGTATGCAGTCATAAATATCCAATACAGACCTACAGGAGGTCAATCGCGAGCCCGAATAGCTCAGTGGTAACGTCTCTGACCACAGAACTGGGTGACGCGGGTTCGATCCTCAGAAGGGACATGAGTTCCTCCAAGGTTGCAGATACGCCTTGCTGATGAGTGCCAACTAGCACGAAACCTAGGTCAACCAAGGCTTCCTGTGGCCGATTGCCTCCAACCATCTAATACCAAAATTTTATATTCAGTCTAAAAATCTTCTTTCCTGAAATGTTCATCCAAGGATTCCGAATTATTCAGTATCAGATTACTTACAAGCAGAAACGTTTGCGTGCTATTGTTACTATTATTATTTCATACATTTATTCCCCGTAATGAATTTAAATTTTACAGAAAAAAGAACAGAAAGAAGAGCACACCTCCGATTTTCTGAACATATACCAAAAAGCCCACATCTCAAGTGAACAGGTGCTTCCAACAGTGCCATTACCAGGCATCTTCTTGATACTGATCATGAGATGGAAATCGAAAAATCCTTTAAAAATATCAATAGAAAATGGTCTCAGCTCTTCTCAAGTTTGCCAAAGCACTCTCTATCAAACGCCTGAAAGCGATTTATGCGTTCAGAAAGAAGCAGTTATGAGCCTCCCCTTGCCAATCTGGCAACTGGATGCCTTTAATCTCTCTTTCATTTGATAATGTAATCTTTGGCTTTAACCCCCCCCCCTTTGATATAGTGTAATTCTCCTTGTCTCTTGTTTCTACGATTTGTTACCCATCACCTTACTCACCTCCTGTTTTAATTACTTAAGTCCTTTATCACTGTATTCATGCATTGATTTCCTTCACACTTGAACTCCCTGGGTAAAAACTACATTAGTGTAAAATTTGCAAGTATGTTAAAACTGTTCTGTACATGAACTTAATAATAATTATTGAAGTGAATTTTTGATTTTCCCGTCGATTGATTGGACCGAAGTGCTCGGTCTCAGGTTGACATGTCGGCTTCTTGTGCAGATGCTTGACGATGTCCGGAGATTTGATTTGTATACAATCGGTGGATGGTGGCTAGCAGTGGAATCCAGGATGCGCATTTCGTCCTAATTGGGACTCGTCAGCTGGATGTACCTGCATTTCTCAGTGAGTGATGATGTTCCGACCGAGGCTTGAACCCAGTGCCCATAGTTTCAAACGCCAAAGCGTTATCCACTAGACCACTTGGGCCACGAGAACCACCTCTTGTGCAACGGGTCATATTAATTATTGAATTGAATTTTTGATTTTCCCGTCAATTCAATAATTAATATGACCCGTTGCACAAGAGGTGGTTCTCGTGGCCCAAGTGGTCTAGTGGATAACGCTTTGGCGTTTGAAACTATGGGCACTGGGTTCGAGCCTCGGTGGGAACATCATCACTCACTGAGAAATGCAGGTACATCCAGCTGACGAGTCCCAATTAGGACGAAATGCGCATCCTGGATTCCACTGCTAGCCACCATCCACCAATTGTATAATAATAAATAATATTTAATATAATAACAAATACTATTTAATACTTAATAATAATTTTTTCGAGAGATGGTTTGAAAATTAATCTGATGCACGCTAGTGACTTGCTAGAGGACTGGAGTTCTAGTGAGAAGTCGTGACCAGTGATGTTCATTCAGTCAAGTTTGAGGATGGATTTCCTACCGATGACATTGGTTGGTGGTGTCACACTGTTATGGTGTGATACAGAAAATGTGTACCAAGAGAATATGATTATCACATATTCCCACAGTTCAAGATTACATTAGCAATAGGATACAATATATCTATTTGAACATTCTGTTTGATGTTAGAGACAGAACACTTTTCGCACGGTTATACACTGCATTAACGAAAGAATACTTTGTATATTTAGACATTCTATTTCATGTCGTTTGATGTAAACTGGAATCACACGCTCAGTGATTGGTTAATGAAATATATTTTGACTTTCGTGTCTTGTCTTCTGTTGTTAGAGCGCTAAAACCACGAGTTGGTAGAAGTTAGAATTCAAGAACCATTGGATCGGGTCCCAGTGACTGAATGACCTACGAGCTTGCCTTGTAACCAGAAGGTCCTGTTTTCGAACCCTGGTGGTGGGTGTGTACTGCTGATGATTCCTAAACTAGGATGAATTAGCTGTCCACTACTCCCTGCTGGCTTTCAATGGCTGTCTTACTGATATCAATCCGCGGTCAAACTCGTAAAAACAAATCTACTCCTTACAAACCAACTTTTGAAAGTAATAATAATTTCATGCAATTCTTCCCATTAATAAAATTGAACAAAGCAAGAACAACAATTGTACCGGGATAATACGAGGTCATCTTTTATTATTTCGAGGATTCTTCTCAACTGGTTACAACCTGAACGTTAAAAAATATGAATTACATTAAAGATATGAACATACTTTTCCACGATCGTAAGGAGTAATTGGTAGGAATTAAAAGTAACATTAGTCCGGAATGATTTAACATGATTCGGAGTTACAAACACTGACTATTTATAGAATCATTAGACAATTAGGCTTGGAAACAAAAAAACAGGGTTGTGTATATATATGTGTGTGTATAGCAACAAGGTTTAGCTAGAAAGAGCATGACTAAAAGCAGATTACATAACTAAAGAAAGCATCTTATCTAATAGCCAATAGAAAAAAGGAAAGAAAAGAAACAAGGTAGGGTGAGTCATGTTTAGATGAGAGAGTAGAGTTTTCTAAACATGAAAAAGGGGACTCATGAGAGTTGTCTATTTTTTTTGTTATCACCAGGGCAGTGCAGGATTTACCACTGTCTCTTTCTGCGTACATAGATTTGGTTTAAGTCGTTTGATGGTAATTGCTTCAGCAAAGCGTAGCAAGCTAGGTTTCTTTTGCTTGATGATTATTTTGAACGACTTCAGGTTGTCTACAATATGACCAGTGTCCAATAGATGACGAGCAATCGCACTGTTTAATACTTGTGGACCTTTCAAACTCAAGTTCTTTGGGTATGTGTTCATAAATGCGGACACTAACCCTTCTCTCTGTTCTTCCAATGTATGTGCTTTGGCACGTACATGTAAATTGGTAGGCTGTGAGCAGATGATGGGAATTCAACATAATAAATGACAGTATCATATTATTCTGCACAAACTGTAATTCGTGCTTAATTGAAATTAGAATTATTATTAAAAATTAGTAATAATATCCAATTCAAATCAAAGTGTCCCACGTCAGTAGTTCACGTCTAAGAGAGAATTAAATTGTGGTTTTTGCTGTTACAATTGTAGGATGACAGAAAAATGTATCCTAACAACAACCGACAGGTTCTCGTCAAAATTTCTTGAGTGAATTCAACTTCCTGGCATCTTTCTAATTTTTATTATAAGTGTTAGTTAAGTGGGGAAATTCTCTTCGACAAATAAAAGTAAAACAAATTTTAAAAAATCAGCATATATTTCAAAAAATATTTCCCTGTAGAATCTATCAATTGAAAATTTGTTTAGCTGGTTAAGTGGTAATATGATAATGCACTTCTCAAAGGACTGTATCACTGCAGTTACAAGAAAGATCTTATCCAATTGAAACAGAACACATTTAAAGAAGGTTTTATGCACGCACGGGAAAATTTGCCGTTAAAACATGAACTACACTTGAGGTGGTGTGATACAGACAATGTGTTCCAACGGAATGTTATTCTCACGTATTCTAACAGTTCAATACTGCGTTAGCAACAGAACATTTCACATCGTTTAGTGTAAGTAAAAATCACACGTTTAATGATTGGTTAGAGAATGTACAGTTTATATATATATATATATATATATATATATATATATATAACGGTTTGATCACTTGAGAATATACCTTGGCTTCCATGTCTTGCCTTTTGCGTTTACACACTAAGCATTTATCAGAAAACCATCTAAAAAATTGAAATTCACAAAAAATAAAAGCGACCTGATTATCACAGTTAGTTGGAGTAATTGTTCGAATGTGAACACCAGTGTTACATGTACAACAAATGGTATGTGAATAGATATAGCTTACTATTTGATTATTTTCAGGCAATGTCTTAAATAAGAATGTTGCTTCATAATCCTTCCTTTTCTCTCTCTTCTTCATCTACTACTACTACTACTACTACTACTACTACTACTACTACTACTACTACTACTACTACTACTACTACTACTACTACTACTACTACTACTACTACTACTACTACTACTACTACTACTACTACTACTACTACTACTACTACTACTACTACTACTACTACTACTACTACTACTACTACTACTACTACTACTACTACTACTACTACTACTACTACTACTACTACTACTACTACTACTACTACTACTACTACTACTACTACTACTACTACTACTACTACTACTACTACTACTACTACTACTACTACTACTACTACTACTACTACTACTACTACTACTACTACTACTACTACTACTACTACTACTACTACTACTACTACTACTACTACTACTACTACTACTACTACTACTACTACTACTACTACTACTACTACTACTACTACTACTACTACTACTACTACTACTACTACTACTACTACTACTACTACTACTACTACTACTACTACTACTACTACTACTACTACTACTACTACTACTACTACTACTACTACTACTACTACTACTACTACTACTACTACTACTACTACTACTACTACTACTACTACTACTACTACTACTACTACTACTACTACTACTACTACTACTACTACTACTACTACTACTACTACTACTACTACTACTACTACTACTACTACTACTACTACTACTACTACTACTACTACTACTACTACTACTACTACTACTACTACTACTACTACTACTACTACTACTACTACTACTACTACTACTACTACTACTACTACTACTACTACTACTACTACTACTACTACTACTACTACTACTACTACTACTACTACTACTACTACTACTACTACTACTACTACTACTACTACTACTACTACTACTACTACTACTACTACTACTACTACTACTACTACTACTACTACTACTACTACTACTACTACTACTGTAACGACAGAGCACAGACGGGGTACACTTGTTTACTTCGTGAAATGACTTACAGTAAAGGGCGACATACAAAAACCTTAGAATTGAATTCAATTTTGCCTAAAGTATTTGTTTTCTGCTTATTTGTCTCCATTTCATGCTACTCTGCATATATTATTTCTATGTGTCTTCGTAATTATCTTCATGTTTCCTCAATGCCATTTAATTCGTTCCTCCGCTATTCAGGTGCTACTAATATTTCATATATAAATTGTTGTCAAGGGAAAACCCATACTACAACTACTACTGTCACAAATACACATGCATCTAAACTAACGTATACCGTTTAAGCAGTTAGACGTCAACACTGTATTCGAACTCATATGTTACTGAATGGGGATGCATAAAAGCGATAGCAATTGTGCCTAACTTATTGCCAAAAAGTCTTCTTGATATGGGTGAACTGTTCATACAGCTTTCGCATTTAACAGCGATAGAAGTTTTAAAAGATATCTGTAAATAGTTGTGGATATTCGTGTGTATCATATTTTAGCTTGAAAAATATTTGGTTTCAGGATTTCATCATGAGCTGACATTAGTTAGAGAACCACGAGAAAACCTGGGAGTACTGGACAGCTGTTTCGTCCTAGTTTGGGACTCTTCATCAGTACGCATCCACCGGGATTCGAACCCATGGCCTTCTGGTTGCAAGGCGAACTGGTACACCATTAAGCCACCGGGACCGAATCCAACGGCCCATGCATTCTAACTTATGCCAATTCACGACATAGCTCGACCCCTAGTCAATATCTTCGGCAAGTATTTGTCCTCACACCCAACCGACTGCGCCCTACTGGGTGCATACTGCTGAAGAGTCTCAAACCAGGACGAAACAGCTGTTCAGTACTCCCAGGTTTTCCAATGGTTCTCTAACTAATGTCAGCTCATGATGAAATCCTGAAACCAATCAAATCCCTACAAGCCAACACTTGAAAAATATTTCTCCACTTTTCTGATTCATCTGTATTATATCCTGTACAGATAACATAAATGGGTGGAATTAGCTGTAGAACATACCAATAAAGGCGGAGAAGAAGCTTGTTTTGGTTTATTGAACACTGATACTTTACTAAAATGTGTTCACAGTTCATAACAATATCTGGTCTTTAAACAAATTAAACGTGCGTCAGTGGCACAGCGGTTAGGACGCTCGCCGACCATGCACATCGTCCAGGGTTCGATCCCCGGCCACTGAATCACTCCTTTACCTCGTTACGCCAACAATAATGTTGGTAAAGAGGAAAGTTTAGGCAAGAGGCTAGCGACCCCATCCTGTGAAATTAAACACTGCTACAGAAACTTCAAGCCACTAGCTTGAGGCTCTATGTTCCACTAGGAACGTGAAGGAAAAGAAAGAAACAAATTAAATGACATCACAATTTAGTATTCCTCGTTTTAGTTAAAATCATTTCTAAGAAGTTCAAGAAGCAATACACTTAAGTTAAACAAGGCTTTATGACAATAGATTCCAAAAGTTCATAGCAAGATATCCAAACACATAGTAAATTAGATAGACGTTGAAAAATTGTGCTGTATTCAAAAACCAAGTGACAAGTAGTTCTGTCATACTGGTAACTTTTAGGTTGCTGTTTTGAAATCGGCTACAAAATGACTTATAACGACTTCACTTGTAATCCTTAGATATTTGCCTTAATTGGACACGAATCAGGGTTTGAATCCATAATTAGTATCAAGAAGTCTAATTCTCTACAGAAACTAAAATTAGTTCATTACGAGATGCTGAATAGAAATCTGGCATTGATGTCAAACTCTGAAAGTGTTTAAAAAAACACAAAACCTTCCAAATCACAACCTGAAATGAAGTACAACTTAAGCTCCAAGAATTCTGCGGTCTATTCCTTACCAACGCTTTCCTAAACCCCCAAAAAGAGGAAATATGATGTATGTGTGAAGCTATCCACCCAACCCACCCTCATAAGAAACTAGCGACATTGTCACAGAAACCCTGAAAGCTGTAAGTTCCACATTCCACTCAGAATAGATGAAATGTAGAAGAAAAAACATCACAGAAATCATGAAACACAAAATTCATCCCTTAATTTTCCTTAATTATAAAACATTTTAAATAAATGTGAGTAATATCTTAAGCAGTTAACTCCTTATCAGTTTATGAATTATCTATAAGAAATTAGCTGAGTATGCTAAGCTTATGTGTGTTATTTTTAAAAAGAATTTTTAGGGTAACTAAGTAATGAAACTTTATTTCTCTTCTCTGTACTACACCTTACTGTATTAATTTTTTTTCCTCCTAGTTATGATGTTGTCTCTTATTTTACCTTTTTCCTTAAAGTGTATCTTTTTTGCTAATCTCAAGTTGCTGTTGTTCTTGCTGTTTGTTTGTTTGTTTGTTTAGTATCCTTTTAAACAGTGGATACATTCGATTAGCCAATAGCATTCAAGCGTTTACATATTTTCAGATCCACCAATCCCAGTGCAAAACAAAACAACTGTTCATTTTCCCATTCACATCAATATAAAGTGAGATGCATAATTCGTAAATAAGGTGGATAAAACTTCAAACTCTATGAAATAAACGATGTTTAATTATTTAACCAATTTATTTCTACCTTCCGTGTTAGACAACTATTAGTATTCGTCAAAAAATATTACGAGGAAATATATCCGAACACACACACACACATATGGCTTATTCAAATATTCCTGGAAAAACTGCTGCAAAAACATATATTTATTTGTATAAATAACTGAATATATATTTCACCTTGTGGAAATAATTATTTATCGATATTACACCAAAGTTATTTCATGGGATCCTTAATATATTAACATAGAGTTTCTTTTTAAAACAAACAAACTAATATGGCTGGTTCACGCAGAGGTTTGGTGGCTCCACAAAACATCTTTCTTGAAACCGTTTTAAGGAGATTCAGTACACCACGTAAGTTCTGGTGATATTCGTGATAAATTAATATACCTAATTTAATTAACGCTTATCATATATATATCTTCATAATATAAGGTATTTCAGTTAGTAAGATTCATTAATGAAATTCATTTATCATTTCTTCGTAGGACACTATGTCCTGACAAAAAAGAAGTATCTGAGAATATAATGTAGGAGTAGAATTCAGGCTCTGTTGTAGAATATGATAATAATAATAAAGCTTTATTTCAGACAATATGTGAACATATAGTACAGAAATTTTCGGCGTATTTACTTCCAAAATATTTCCTCTTCATAGGGGATTCACGCATAAAGTAATAATCTGAAAGATATCATGTGAAGTAGTGTTTGTTGTTGCTAATGAAGAGAGAACCAACTCTGTAAGTAGTTTCTTCATTTTCTTCAAGAATTGCACAACGTTTGGTTGGAAGCTAATTAAATGTGAGCTCGGGTTCATGCAGTGATCATTTGATATAAGTGAATGATTGAAACAATGATAAATGCAGAAGAGTTGGAACATTTTGATGGATAGCAATTCTGGTAGGCTAGGTAGGCTACCGCGAGAATGCCAGTTTTAATACTAGATAAGTTTCTTTCATATAACATACAGCGATACACTGTTGATGACTGGGTAAGGTTTACAGAACAAGTGTTCGCTCATAATTCAATCAAATTTCTCATTACAAGTGACTAAAGGTGACAAGCGCTTGCCTGTAAATAACCGCGAAAATTCTTAGTAATCAATCAGATAAGTCTATCTATGGAGTTCCAGTGAGAAGCCGTGACCAGTGACGTCCATCCAGTCAAGTGTGAGGATGGGTGTCCCACCGACAATATTAGTTGGGGTCACGCTAACACTACGAATTGGTAGAAGTTAGAATTCATGCACTGGCTACTGAATCAGGTCCCAGTGACTGAATGGTATAGGAGCTTGCCTAGTAACCGGAAGGTCCTGGGTTCGAACCAAGGTGGTGCATGCTTACTGTCGATGAATCCCGAACTAGGATGAAACAGCTATCGAGTACTCCCTGCCGGTTTTCAATGGTTCTCTAACTGATATCAATCCGTGATCAAGTAAAAACAAAACTAATCCTTACAAACTAACTATAGAAAATAAATTTATGTCGAAAATAAAGAACGGCTTTCACAAAATGTAGCTATTCATATAAGAAAATATCCTCCTCTAGTTATTTCAACATAAACTCTTGCAACCGACATACATGTAAAGAGTACCGTAATCAGTCCAGGATAACATACCATCTAAGCAATACACAGTTTTCAACACTCTTGACAAATATATCACAATTTTATTAAAAGCCACTTCTATTCAAACGGTTTCCAGGTCGAATTTCAACGAAAATAAACGCTCACTTTGATACAATATGCTGACAACAAGCTGTTTACTGGCAGTGTTTTCAGTGCTGTTAATCGAAAGGTTCCGTGGTTCGAGCCCACCCGGGGGCGTCAGTGTGTCAGTGGCATAGCAGCAGAATGCTCGCTAACCATGCAGGTGGTCTGAGGTTCGATTCCCGGTTGGTGCACTCCAGTAATAATACTGGTAAAGAGGGAAGGTTGGGAGTAATACTAGTAACCCCACCCCGTAAAAATAAACACCACTGTTACCGAAACTTCAAGCCATTACCTTGAAGCCCTACGTTCCACTGGGAACGTAAAGGAACAAAAAATCTTGATATGAAAACAATTATCCTCACTTCAAGAGCTGATTCAAGTCTCAAACATTTTGATGTTTCTGTGCCATAGATGTCACTTAACTTCTTTTAGTTAAGTCAAGATAAACCTACCAACCTATGTTTAAATATGGTTTCTGTTCATCAAGAATACATATTTTTATTTATGAGGAAATTTCTTATTTCATTATTTTGAAAAAAAGCAAGAATGACGGTTTGTGAAGAATAAGATAATACCTTCGTTTATTTCGTCGGTTGCATAAAGCCTACAAAATAATTAATTCAATTTGTGTGCAGAGCAGTTTTTATAGTACATGTAAATGTGTGGAATCAAGCTGTAAATCAAAAATAAAAAATAAAATAAATGATGTTAGTTAACAGGAGACTCCGAAATTTATAACTAATCCTTAGAAATCGCATTTATCTATGAATTATACACAGAAAGTTTTAGTCCAAACAAAATTTTCAAAAGAATGGTTACTGAACAAGGAGTACTCTTTTCGATAACTTCATCATCAGGCTGTACATTTATACATACATTATAGTGAATGAATGAATGAATTAGTGTTATGAACGACATTAATGTTTAAATAACATCAAATCAATAATATTGATAGATTACAGTTGAATCGCATCAACATCAAATAAGCTGAATGTCAGAAGAATTAAGAAGGATAATATTACAAATTCATGAGTTTATAGCTTCTACTGAAGGCCAGGGCAATAGTAGGGGCCGGACTTGCTTCTTTCGGACACAGAGTGCTGGTTGTTTGAGGCGAATCGCAATAGCCTCTGCCGTTTGGAGCCTACGGTGCTTCGATGTTTTTGGTAATTTATTTGGCACCCGGTATAATATAGAGAAGAATTCATCTACACTGGCTTTGTGGCCTGTTTGCACCAGATGTTCCAATATCTTAAATCCACGGGATACAGTATTATTTCAGTAAAGTTATATGTTTGCCACAGAGTTATTTGACTTTCTAAACCTAAAATAATTAAATAGAAACCATTCAAAATCCAAACCTTAGTCTTTAGCAAAATCATTTTGTGATAAACTGACTAATTATTAAGTATCCATTTATCTACAAGTCCCTGTAAGTGTGCAGAACCTAAAATATTTCGGCGTAGTTGTGTTCTCTAAGCTGAACAGTTTAGTTCAGAATCTTTCATTGACTTATTTAAATTCGAGTACGCTCTGAAAATGTTGCCTAGTAAAACGATGAAAGCTTCGCAACTAAACCAACCAGCTCACAGAACACAACTTACACCGAAATCACCCACCTGAGCTACAAATCTCTTCCATCATACTTATTTATTGCTTTTGTTATTGTTTAAAGAATAGAATGTAAAATAATAGAGACTGTTATCTTAGTAGCTGAGATTTTTTCTCTTCTTGCATCAAAACTTTAACATTGAACAATATGACTATCATCTACATACTTTACTTTTCGTTAGAGCATAGATATATGTTAATAGCAGTGCTTATATGCATAGTCACACAAAATGGAAGCGACCAGTTTATATTTTACACTGCTTACCTTCAAAGAATACCTTCTATGAGAAAAGTGAAGAAATATCTGCTTGACTTTAGTCTAGATTCCACCTTCTTTCACTTTATCTCTCCTAGAATATTGTCAGAGGGAGTCCTTTTACACAACAGGCTACCTGTAAACACTGGTGGAACTTTTCCAGCAGTGATATGACTAACCAGTACCACTGGTTGAACTGAATGACTGCCTAATGTTCATATCAATCACTAGTATACACCATCGACCCATTTCACTTGCCTTCTGGAATGTCGCTTATGGTTTAGAGCAAATCACACGCAAGGCTCAGAGCATTATGAGTGGTAGATATTCATCTCGAATCGTGTCACTTATAAACGAGAAATCTGATGATTCAGTAATGAACGTTTGTTTGAATTAACTTAATTTACATTTTCTGGAGTTGTAGATATGCGTTGGTGATTCGGTGACAGAATGCTTGCCATCAAGCATATGGTCTGGCTTTGATTGCCTACTGACACATTCCAAAACCTCGCCTAGTTTAACCGAGATTAAACCGTGTAATACGAGCAGGCTGGGCATTAGGCCAGCGGTTCTACTACGTAAAAACAGACTACCGCTATTGGATCTTTGAAGCTTAAAGCCCCATGTTTTAATCGAGATGTAAGTAATTAAAAAGTTATATAAGTGAGAAAGGTTCTCTACCTAAGGAGGATGACGAGCCCTATGATTCGAAGTAAAACGAGAACTGACTGCTATTCTCTGGGTTGTACTACTCACTCCTAAACAATTCATCGGTAGGCTTTTTGAAAAATAATATCTTAAGCATAGATTTTTGGCGGTGCATGCTGCATAAAGAAGTTTTCACATTGTGATAGTAAATGCCTAATCACTACCTGTTGCATAACATCAATTTATTAACATCATTATTTATTTTTGATTCAATTTCGGTTTTCGTGTTGACTGATTGGACCGGCCTTTGTTGACATATTGGCACCTGTAGTGACACTTCGACGATGTCGGAGGATTGATATGATGTTACCTGGTGGATGGTGACGAATAATGGGAACCCTGGGATTCGCGTTTCGTCCCATCCGAGACTCGTCACCATCCGCCAAAATTACTTCAAGTTAATACTTGAACATTGTCGAAGCATATGTACTAGAAACCGATATGTCAACAGAAACTAAACATTTCAGTCCAGTCAATGAGGAAACAAAAAGGAATTAAAAACAAACGGTAACTGATGCTCGCTGCACAACAGATGATGACTCTCGTCGTCCAAGTGGTAGAGTAGATAACCCTTTGGCGTTTAAAACTATAGGAAGTGGGTTCGGGTCTCAGTGAGAACACTACCATTCTCTGGGTAATGCAAATGCATCCAGATAATGAGTCCATCACCGAAATTATTCACTGACATCCTATCTGAAGTACTGCATAAGTAGACATTTGAAGCATCATTATGTTCCGATTAGAGCAAAGCCCATTTTCTGAACTCTTCTGCTAACTATCACGAACTAAATAACACCACATTATTTTACTCTGCTTCAAATTTAAAGAGCATTGCACTTTGCAAATTTTAAACTGAAGAATCATTCCACTTGAAAAACTTTCTTCCCACATCAATAAAGTGTTACGTTTTTATTTTTTAACTTTACTAAACTTCAAATTACATGAAGTGAATTAAAATTTAGCTAATTATGTCACACACAAAAAGTATGATCAAAGCGTTTCCATAGTAACGTAAATGTAATAAGTAGGTAAAAAAAGATGCCAGGTGTATGTTTTTTATGCACTTCTG